CCGCTGGTGGCCGGCGTGGTTAGCTAGAGCCATGTCTGGTGCTGCCAGCCGGGAGGAGAGCTCCTTGCTGCAAAACAGCTTGCTGCAAGCAGCACATTGTGAGACTATTTATTTTTAAACTCCCAGAGGATTTATGTTCTCAAAGAACCAGAAAGACAGTAGCCACTTATATGACTTATCAGAGTAGCTGAGGGTTGGGCCTGTGTGTTAAAAACAAACTTGACCTTTGAAAGAGATCTTGGCCGGTGCTCCCGCGGGTGGAAGGGGGGCCCGGCGGGCCTGAGGAGGAATGCCTCTTGCAGCCGGAGCATCCTGGGCTGCTGGCTCCACGTCTTCCTCGTGCTGCTCCTGGGGACGTGGAGTCCCACGTGGGTAAACCCAGCGCGCTCTGGCTGCCTGCCGCGCGGGCTGCGTTCTGTCTCACTTATTCCGAATGCAGGTGTTGAATATACGCTGACTCAAAAAACTTTTCTGTAGGCGGAACAACAGTTAGTTGATTGCGCCCAGGCTTTTAACAACCATGGCTGCAGTGGGTAAGTAGTATAAAGTGAGAAAGAATAGAAATAAGAGGGTTTTGTGGTCCGTGATTGACAGCTTTTCTCAAGATCTAGTGTCGGGATCCTTCCAGATCTTGGAATGGTTTTTGTTTCCCCAAGGCTGAGACACGGCAGGGAAAACGTTTTTGGGTTTGGTTTGGTTATTTTAGTTTTGCTCTCCCTAGAGGTTAGAAAGTTTCAATAAACTTCCAGCATTTCCTAACCTCTGTTGTTCCTCTTGTTTAGTAGTTTTTTCTTCTGGTACTTGTTTTGTTACAAGGTCTTCTGAAACCGCAGCCTCGGGTGCTAGGTAGCTAGGCTTTAACGTGCTCCAGGAAAGCAAGGGGAGTTTCATCTGTTGCTCTGCTCATGGGTCACGCACATCTCATGACACTTTAAGGAACCCACAGAAACCTCTGCTTCCCCTTTGGTAAATTCCTACTGGCGTTGCTAGAGAAGGCAGAAAATAAAGCTTTCTGATATCTTACATTTTCTGTAAGATAAGCGGTCTCTGAGGAATGTTCGGAGAGCAAAACCACTCTTGGTGCTTTTTATTTTTTCTCGTGGCTCCTCCTTGTCCTCTCCTTGTGAGCACGCCCTGAGCACGCTCCCCTTTTCTTCCCTCCGGAGATGTGCTCCCCGGAGCTGGCCGGGGAAGGAAGCAGCTGCGGGTCCCTCCTCGTCCCCCGTGCCGGGTAGCTGGGCAGAGGTCACAGAAAAACACCTTCCACGCGTGGAGCTGCCGGGCTGAGCTGGCGGGGTGGGTGCTGTGAGGGCGAGGCGGCCTCGCGCCTTCGGGGCCCCTGCGTTGGCATTCTCCCGCGGGGATCGGGCACCCCTTCCCGTGCTGAAGAGCGTGGTGGGCTAGGCCAGGAGTCCCAGACAGGGAGGCACTGCAGGAACAGACTGGAGCTTATGCCTTTAGAGGGTCCAGGACACACGCTGTCCTTCCCTTTCCCCCCACTTTGTGGAACAGTCTGTAGGACTGTGGGGGGAAGGTTGATGACTTTGCTCTGCAGAAGCCGCAGCATTACCACCCTAATTAATCTGCATTCTGGCTGTGTTGTCTTGCAGGGGTCTGCCAAGCCAAGCCTTCGAATACATATTGTATAACAAAGGGCTCATGGGGGAGGATGCCTACCCGTACCGGGCCGAGGTATTTCCAGCACAGCTCAGAGGCATTTCAGCAGCAGCAGAGCAGGGTCCGGAGCAGGCTCTAACACCGCTTCCTTTCTGTCCGCACAGAACGGCACCTGCAAGTTCCAGCCGGAGAAGGCTGTAGCGTTTGTCAAGGATGTTATCAATATCACGCAGGTGAGGTCCCGAGGGCTGTTTCCAAACTGCCAGGGCTGTGCCGAGCCTGGCCTGGACGGTGCTTGGGTGCCCCGAGGCGTGCCAGGCTCATGCTGCAGCCTGCTCGCTCTTGGGAGAGGAGCGAGCTGCTGGCGTGCACACTCCTGCTCTCCTGTGTGCCACCAGCTCCCGTTTCTGGAGGTGGCACCAACGAAGCGCTGCAGTCAAAATACAGGCACTGGGTCTCTGCCTGCTTTCCGCAGCGCGTGCTGCTCCAGGCTGTAAGGAAGTGTTGGTTCTCATCCTGCAGTCCAAGCAGCACTTATTCCCTTGTCTGCAAGTGGAAAGCCAGGGTTAGGCTGGTTAGCCCTGCTGGGCTCTGACTGCTGGTCCGGGGATCCTGACTGGTTCCAGTGTAATCAGGAGATAAATGACCCTGGGATCCTCTTCTTGCAGTATGATGAGAATGGCATGGTGGAAGCTGTGGGGAAGCACAACCCGGTGAGCTTTGCGTTTGAGGTGACGGGTGACTTCATGCACTACAGAAAAGGTGTCTATTCAAAGTGAGTACTTTGGAACCTGGGAGGTGAGGGGAAGGTGTAGGGCTGGAATCACTCGCATCCCTGTTTCTCCCACTTTATGGCACTAGACGCAGGGACACTGGACTGCATTCTTCCATTTTCTTTTAAACAGAAAATAGAAAACATAACTAAACTGAGCTTCAATATACTGATTTCCTAGGGGGGTGAGAGCGCAGCACAGGGGAGAGGGAGCAGTGTGCTTGCAGCCAACTTACTGCTAGGATCCAGTCCAGGCTGAAGACCAGACTGGATTTGGAACGAAGCCCAGGAGTTGGGGAGCCCCACCGCAGAGCTGGGGAGCCTGTCCCAGGGCTGACGTCTGTGTCCGAGCTCTGGACAGCAGCAGGGTCAGCCTGGTCCAGCAGCTGAACGCAGCGGGTTTACTTTGGGTAAGCCCTAACCAAAGTGAGTTTTCTGTGAGACTTGGGCAGCTCTTCCAGTGCGGGACCTGGGAGGGGTGGCTGTGAGCAGCGTGGCTGTGCTCATGCTGTGTGCACCCGAGCCGGTACGTCGGCAGGTTGTGTTACTCAGGCAGGGTCCCCGTGTCACAGTTCTATGCAGGGCAGGCGGCTCCCCGGGTGCCCTGTGCCAACCCCCTTAGGTGCGTGCCTGCTTCTGCAGCTGGACCTGCGAGAGAAGCGGCAGAGACGAAGAACTAGTTTGAGACATGAAGTGATCTGGCAGAAGAAGGTCTCGAGTGTTGTGTCAGCTCTGTAGCCGAGGCAAAAAGCCACTTAAAAGAATGATGATTATATTTTGGAAAGGCTGTGGAAGCTGACTGCGGCAGGATAGATTTCTGTTAAGGGAGAAAGGGGGAAAGTGCATGTTTGGAGAGAACTAGCGAAACACTTTAAGAGTAACGAAGCCTCGGTCACGTAGAACTGCAGGGAAAATTAAACTAAGAGTCTAAGCATGAGTGATCTGCCCCAGGGAGCTGGAAGGGAGAGAGTAGGCAGCACCGCGAATTCGAGTGGCTCTGCTGTTGCAATAAAGACAGTAATCTCAAAGCTCAAAATAATCAAATCTCAAAGTAATCTCAAATCAGTGGGCAGGGGTGAGAGCAGGCAGTGGTCAAGATACTTTCAATAGGAGTCCGGTGTGAGGAACAAGTACAGTCACCCTGTAGGTTCATAGTCTCGGGTAGATTTGAAGCATATGGAATAATTGACGCGCCAGTGTTTGTAGCCTGTGCTCCCCAGACCAGCTATTAACAGGCTCAAGAAAAGTAAATCTGTACTGGGGATTATTGATCTTTTACTTATCTGCGATCTGAAAATGTTTAAAAACGGGTGCTCTAGAGACGGGAGGTTGTACCTTGTGTTATCTTGTTCTGTATCACTTTCATCAAGTGCAATTTAAAAGCTGGAAATTGAGAGGAAATACAAGGAAATGTGTATTCAGACTGAGGAACTTGCTGTTCCCTGTGCAGAACGTGGAACAGAGCCCCTGAACTTCAGGGCAGAACAAACCATTGCTGGGATGCACTAAGTGCTTCTGGTTTTCGTTGGAAAAATTCCTTTGCTCAGATTTTTCATTGTAGCTCGATCTTGTGTGACAATGGTGATGTTGATTCTGAACAAAAAGCCAGACCAGGTGCTCGGATCAAAGTTCCGTGAAGCCTATTGCCCTGACTCCAGATATGGCCGGTAATAATCTCTGAGAGAACAGAACCATATCCCATTGTCTTGGCTTCCCTCCCTACTCTCCACAACTGGAGGTTCAGAGTACCCATTAGTGCTTTTTGCAGTTGGAGTGCAATCAAGAATGCCAGCTAATCCACAATTAATTAGGCTGGTTTTTCATGTAACAAATCTGCTTTATTTTTCCCTTTTCTTTGCAGCCCACGATGTGAGCACACTCCTGACAAGGTGAACCACGCTGTCCTCGCTGTGGGGTACGGAGAAGAAAACGGGACCCCTTACTGGATTGTGAAGAACTCCTGGGGCCGGCTGTGGGGCATGGATGGGTAAGGAGCTCCCAACGCTACCGCACCCACCTCGGTCTCCTGGGGCCTGGTAAAAGGACAGTCATGTGCGTGGGCTTCCAGCCACCCGCGTCACCCCCCAGGTCGCCCTTACGCTCTCAAGCGGAAATGTCACAGCTCTCGTACGCTGGGCAGGGGCAGTCGTCCCAGCCTCGGCAGTGAAGGAGACGTGGCTCTACAAAGCGTGGTTAGAGCGGACCTGGAGAGCAGCGGACCTGCCGTTGTCACCGGGGGCTCGGCCAGCGCATGCGGAGCCGCCGTGGTGCTGGTTTGCCGGGAGACCAATGTGCCTCTTCTGCGGTTACACAGCCGGAGAAGAGCAGGTTGGGCCGGGAGCGAGTTTTCACTCTGGCTCTGCAAGTATTTCTAGCTGCAAGTGAAGTTTTGAGAGTCAGGTGCTAGTCTGTGATTTAAGGGGGACTAACCACTGGCCGTAATGGCGCTGCCACGGGTGTTCGCTCCTTGTGCTGGCGTGAGAGAGGAGCTTGCACAGAATGAGAGCAGTCGCCTTGCGCCAGTGTCTGTCGTGCCGACTGCTGGAGTAGGGAACGCTCGCTCATACGCATTCCTCTCTCGTTTTAGGTACTTCCTTATTGAACGGGGCAAGAATATGTGTGGTCTTGCTGCTTGTGCATCTTACCCGGTTCCTCAGGTGTAAGCGGAGAGTGCAGGCTGGGGAAAGCGGGCACGGGAAAAGGAACGACTGGAGTTTCTGCACAGGAATTTCTGAATGCTAAAATCAAGAAAGCGAGAACAAGATGAACCCTCTGCTCAGAGTCGTTACCTGCAGGCAGATTCCTTGGTCTGCACACAGCTCCTTGCCGTAGGAAGACCCGCACCTCCTCTCCCCAGCCAAAAGCAAGCGTGCCCCTGCGCTGGGAGCCAGACTCTGGCCGATCGCCCGCTCCCAGCCGAGGCCCTGCCAGGGTGGGGGCAGCAGGGGCTGCCTGGGCGGCTGAAACGCCACAACACTGCCCCAACAACGCTCGTCCCTTCCCTAGGGCGGCTGCTTCCAGATCAATGGCTGTAATGTCTAGGGCTCTTTTTATTTCCTTTGAAGGACAAAGCTGAGTGCTGTGATTTCTAAGTCTTACCTCTTTTCATTAAATTGTTTTTAGTATTTTTTGTATTAAAAACCAGGGTATTTTAATGCAGAAGAAATAATAGAGAAGAAACGGATGATTTTCTTTCATGGCTCTGAAGGGAGCAGGAAGCTTACTGCTAGTGGTGTACGCGCAGGGGGGTGAGGCGGCCGTGTGGGGCCCACTGCTGTTTGTGTTATCGCACGCTCGAATCCGCCACTGAATAAAGAGGCCTTGTCACCGCGCGGCGTGTGCTCTGCGCGTTACCGGGT